AAGGTGGGCGCAATTTGTCACAGCAGCATCAGGAAACTAATTCACGGCACCACCGGCATCAGGTAAGTGGAGACCAGGGATGCTGCTCATCACCCCGCAATGCACAGGGCGGCCCTGCACAACACAAAACCATTTGGTCAAAAATGTCGACAGTGCCAAGGTTGAGAGAACGTGGGTTAGGGTGATGACATTTTGGAGTTTAATTTCACCTAGTTCTTAAGAGGCTGAAGTGTAAAAGACTGATCTTGCCAAATGTTGGCAACTGGAACTCATATACACTCCTAGTGGGACCGTGAAATGCTATAACCACGTCGGAAATCAGTTCCTCTTTTTAAAAAAGTAAGGTATACTGCTATGCTGTGCGTGTCCCCCGCAAACTCATGTCATCTCTTCCACAAATGAATGTTTTCTGGATTTCTCAGGCCTGCTTTCCTCCTGCCCCACGGAGACACTGCGGAACCGGGGCCTTCTGGTCCCTGGGAGATTGGCTCGTGCTGCGGAGGCAGACCACTTACTGCACATCTTTCTGGAGATCTGAAGCACCTCCCATTTCCACAAGAAAGGAAGAGAAGCCAGGTGAAGACCCTTCCATCCAAAATCCTCAAGTTCGAGATGCCTTCTCCGCTCCCTATCCAGGCAGAGCTTCTCCTCAGCACACGGAGGGGAGAGGCCTCAAGCAACTCCAGCGGAAGCAGCCACAGTCTTTCCAGGGCCCAGAAATGTCCTCTGCAAGGACCCACAAACCCAGACTTCATGAAGGAGACCCCAGGGCCATAGCCCAGCCCCAAGGCTCCTGAGTCTAATTGTGGTTGTGACAGAGATCCTGCACTTTGCAGAATCAAAAAGAATATGTTGTGTGGTTTTTTTTAACCACAATCAATAAAAAATGCATTAAAAAATAACTGGCCAGGCACAGTGGTTCACATTTGTAACCCTAGCACTTGGGGGAGACCATGACAGAAGAAGGATTAGAAACCAGGTGTTCAAGACCAGCCTGGCAACGTAACAAGATCCCATCTCTACAAATAATTTTTAAAAATTAGCCAAGCATGGTGGCACACGCTTGAACTTTCAGCTACTTGGGAGGCTGAGGCAGGAAGATCGCTTGAGCCCAGGAGTTCAAGGCTGCAGTGAGCTATGACTGCATCACTGCACTCCAGCCTGGGCAACAGAGACCTTGTTAAAAAAAGAAAGAAAGAAAGAAAAAGAAAGAAAGAAAGAAAGAAAAAGAAAAAGAAAGAAAGAAAGAAAGAAAGAAAGAAAGAAAGAAAGAAAGAAAGAAAGAAAAGAAAAAGAAAAAAAAGAACGAGGCCTGTAATCCCAGCACTTTGGGAAGCTGAAGTGGGCGGATCACGAGGTTAAGAGATCAAGACCATCCTAGCCAACATGGTGAAACCACATCTCTACTAAAAATACAAAATTTAGCCGGGCGTGGTGGTGCATGTCTGTAATCCCAGCTACTCGGGAGGCTGAGGCAGGAGAATCACTTGAATCCTGAAGGTGGAGGTTGCAGTGAGGTGAGATCACACCACTGCACTCCAGCCTGGCAACAGAGCAAGACTCCACCTCAAAAGAAAAAGAAAGAAAGAAGTTTTGCCTATTGAAAGACTCAGGAAAAATAAAAAAAAGAAAAACAGCCTTGATAATGAGATATCACTTCACGGTGACATCGGTTAAAAAAAAAAAAAAAAGATAACAACAAATGGTGGCAAAGATGTGAAGAAGCTGGAAGCTTTGCGCATCGCTGGTGGGGAGGCAGAATGGCCCAGCTGCTGTGGAAAGGGTCTGGCAGGTCTTCTAAACATGACACCTAGAGTCACTACAGAGTCCAGCAATTCTACTGCTGATTATAGACCCCAAAGAATTGAAAACCGGTGTTCAAACAAATGGCATGTATGTGAGTGTTAAGAGCAGGGCTTCTCACAATAGCCAAAAGGTGTAAACACCCCAAATCTCCATCCAGTGACGGACAGATACACAAAATGTGGTCTATCCATGCACCGGAATATCACTCAGCCGTCAGGAGAATGAAGCACTGATACATGTTACAACATCAGTGAATCTCGAAAACAGTGTGCGCAGTGAAAGAAGCCGAACATAAAGGGCCACATATTGTATGGTCCCATTTATATGAAAACTCCAGAAGAGGCGACCCCATAGAGGCAGAAAGCAGATTAGGGAGTGCCTGGAGCCGAGGATAGGAGGGACCAGGGAATGGCAGCAAGGTGAGTCTGGAGGTCTCCTTCCGGGGTGGTGAAAGTGCTAGGCAGCTAGACGGAGATATGGCTGCACAATGCTGCAAAGATACGCTTTCAAATGGTGAATTCCACATTATGTGACTTCTACATCAATTATTTTTAAAAGTAAGCTCCTGTCAAAAATGCATTTAGCAGTTACACCCTGTCACCTTTGCCCTAGATAACACCCCTCCCTCCCTGCCATGTGATCCTCACCTCACTAACCCAAAACCCAACATGTCCCATGGCTGCTGAGCACAATAAAACTTAGTGCTCGACACCAGAGTCATGTAAATCAGTTCCCTCCTTTGCGCGTTTTCTTTAAACCAGCCAATCCACAACCCCTGCAGGAAAGCCTGTAGGATCACATCACACCCGCTGACCTTAACGGGCACAGCTCTGTAGCTTCCCCGCCCTTCCGGTTCTGTACTTCGCTCTTGCACAGCTGATGAGCTCAATCAGCTCTCTGCTGCCCCCAGACTTCCCCTCTGCCTTTCATCAGCACACCTAACGTCTCTGCGATCTGACTCATACATTATTATTTTTTTTTTTTACACAGGGTCTCGTTCTGTCACCCAGGATGGAGTGCAGTGGTGCAATCATGACTTACTGCAGCGTCAACCTCCCGGGCTCAAGGGATCGCCACCCCCGCTCAGCCTCCAGAGTAGCTGGGACTACAGGCACGTGCCATCACGCCCAGCTAATTTTTCCATTTTTTGTAGATACGAGGTCTCACTATGTTGCCCAGGCTGATCTCAAACTCCTGAGCTCAAGCAATCTGCCCACCTCGACCTCCCAAAGTCCTAGGATTACAGGTGTGAGCCCCCGCGCCCGGCCCATTTCTGCTGTTTCGTGAATTTTCATTCTGCCTCCTCACTGTGGCTCGCCCGACACACACATCCCCACCTAACTCTCCCATGGGTCGGGGCTCTCCTAGAGAGTGGGTATCTCGGCTATGGCCACTCTCAGTAGAGTCATGTCAAGACCAAGTTAAAAAGAAACCATAATGATAAAAACCACAACAACCCTCTTGAAAGCAAACAGAGTTAACTGTGTGAAACAGCACGGGACTTGCAGTGTGGAATCTCAGTTTGTGATGCACCAGAGGAGACGCAGCCGTCACAGGGGCCTGTGGAAACACCTCTGCATCCAGCTCGTTTTTAAAATGCCATGAATTCCTGTGTCCCCTGCACCTAACTTAGCCACACAGCCAGGGCTTGATGAAATGCCGTGATGAAAGGTCCGTGTTTACCAGCCACCTTGCCTGCTCGTGCCTCTGTGAGACTACACTTCCCCATCCAGAAAGTGGGTGTCTGAGGGCCACAGAACAATGCCACTTAACCTGGTGCTCCAGAGCTCAGTGATGAGCCTGTAACAACAGTGAAATCATCATCAGCCCTGCCTCCATTCCTCCTAGTAGATGTGGGCCCTGCAGACCTGGTTTTCTGCTCACGCTGAACATCAGTAAGGGCAGGCTCCCTGCTGCAGCAAACAACCAAAAATCCCAGTGGCTGAATGCGATCAAAGTTTGCCTCTCGGCCATGTCACAGTCCAATGTGGGGGCGGGTACTGGGTCGGAAATACAGGCTTCTAGAATTTGCAGCAAAAGCATGAGGGAGGAGAGACAGAAGTATTGCCCTGCTCCCCTGCAGCCACCCCCGTATCAAGAGGTGGTGAAAGACTGGGATTTGAGAGGGTTAAGGGTTTCTCCAAGCACAGTATTCTCACTGGCCTGTGCGGCTTGGAAACATACAGGGAAGTCAGTAACTGCCAGCAAGCTCTGTTGCTGCTTAATAGAAAGCTGACTGGGTAAGTGTGATTTTGCCAAAGCAGTCTTTAATGCTCCCAAGATTTTAGACTTGGTTGCCACTATGAAAATAACCTCCAAAATGCAACTCCGACTGGTCATCTAATTGGTAATGGTTTCCCTCTAATGTTCTTTGATTGTCATTTAACAGATTCTTAGGCCATGTAAACACTGACAAGATGTCCGTGGGAAAACTAGAGGATGATTCCCACTTGCTTCTTGCCCTGCACCAGGCAGGCACTAAAAGGACTGCGGGCTGCTTCTTCCCATGCAAGTGCTGGGACTCTTGGCTCACCTAAGGGAATCGCTGCCTCCCTCGCCAGAGGGACTGGAGCTAATCAGCCACAGACAGAGGTGAGGGGACAGAATGTGGCACCCCCTGAGGGCTCATGGGAACCCAGACAATCGCTCCCAGTAGAAATGGAAAGAATCTGTCGAGAGATTGGGCTTGCCTTTTTTTTTCTAATTGGTGGGCCCTAGCCCCATCTTGGAAAGAAAATGGAGCTACTGCACAGTGCAGAGCAAGCATTCACCAGATGGCAGTCACTTTTCAAATAAGTATCTAAGACCCGACCTGTGCCCCAGCTCAGCTAGGTGAAGAGACCAGAGCTGGTGAGGCAACTCTAGTCCTGACCTTCCCAGCAGATCGGGGCCAGAGGACGCCACATCCCTGAGTAGTGCCAGGTGTCTGCCAGACTCTCGCTGCCCCCATGTTGTCTCCTGCCACTGGAGTCAGGGCCAGCTGCTGTGCCACAGCAACCACCTGGCAGGGGCCACTGAGCTGGAGCATTTTCACCAGCAAGGGTCAAGGCAGATGTGGGACTGCAGGGAGGGGGCTGGCTCTTCCAACTGGCCCCTCAGCCTGCTCTCCGGGCCGTGTCCTGGCTCCCTTTCACTCTCTCACAGGCGGCTCCCAGGAGTGGTTCCTCCTCTGCTTCCAGTCCCCAAAGCCTCACCTGCATTTCTCCTCCTGAAGGGACTCCAGCAGCAGCTCCAGGTCGGTCAGAAAACTCTCCTTCAGGCTGTGACGGGACACCTGGAGGCTGGCATGCAACTTCTTGACTTCTTCCAGCTCTTCCTTCGCCTTCTGCAACAGCAGCTTTTGTTGCTGGGCCACATCCTTTGCCTCTGAGCGGGTATGTCTCTTTGTCCCCTGCTGCAAGCTTGGGAAGCGACTCTCCAGGGTGAAGGGTCTGCTGGCATCAGGCAGGTTGGCAGGCCCGTCTTCCCCACCCGGCTTGGGGCACTCTGAAGGCAGGGGCTTCTCACTAGGCGGCTCGCAGTTGGCTGGGTCGCTTTCTGCCATCAGCAGTAAGCCCCTGGGCCTGCGGCCTTCCTCCATCCCCTGGAGCTGCTGGTGACACTGGTAGAGCCTCTGCTCGATCTGGCAATGGTGGCAGAGGCGAAATGGTTCACCTTCTTGAAGGCCTGCCGGGCGTGTGGCACCTGGTGCCGGTCTGCCGTGGATACCAGCTTGAGGTAGCTCACAGTATTGTCATCCCGACGTCTTCTCTACTCTCAGCTGCTCTGAGAGGTGAAGGATGTGGTGCCTGACACTGTCCCGTCAGTTCTGGGCTACGCCCCCACCTGAGAGGTTGGACGGACCACTGGGGCCATCTTCACTGGCTACAGGTACCTGCAGGAAGGCATGCTGGAGGGGAGGGTTTCACTGGGGCTCCTGGTGTGTTCCGCCTACACTGGGAAACAAGAAAGCACAGGACAGTGCCCTGTGAGCTGCAAAGGGTGGGAGAATTGGACAAGTTATGACTTCATAAAACTTTCACATATGTATGGATACTTATACACGCAAGATGTGTGCATTCAAGATGGGCCTGACACAGACTGGAGAGGCGACGTTCATCTTCAGGGCCGCCTCCCTCTTTTCGGTATCTGATTCCTTGCTCTAAATGTGCACCTCCCTACGACCCACAGGTGGCCAGATCCCTTCTGCATCTGCCCTGCACTCCTGTTATCTTCCAAAAATGACCAACTGTGGGTCTCATTTATAAATAACTGTTCTTGTAAAGTCTGGAATAAACTCATTTCCGTTAACCCTTACAGCTTGCTGTATGGCTACTCCCAGGGAGACAGGAGAGATAGGCAGAGAGATTTGCATCCTGACAGGTTCATTCATCCATCCAATCATTCATTCCAACGTATTTCCTGAGTGCCTACCATGTGGTACAGAAGCCAGGCACATTCCTTGGTCTCACAGAGCTGACAGTCTAGGGTAGAAAATTCTATTGAAACACAAAAGGAGTCTCTCACATGGTGAGGGGGTAACATTGCCTTTGACAAAGAGCCCTGTTCAAATTCTGGCTCTCCCACTCTGAGACCTTGAGCAAGTTAATAAACTACTCTGAGACACAGTTTTCTTACCTCTAAAATAAAAAATAGCAAGAGCAGCATAGCTGGAACCCAGACCACCAGGGCAGACTGGGGAGCAAGGAGCTAGGAGAGGGAGACGGGGAACAGCTCAGGTGCAGCCTCTGTTCTGTTTCTACTTTTGAGACTGGGTCTCTCTGTCGGCCAGGCAGTGGTGCAATCTCAGCTCAATGCAACCTTCGCCTCCTGGGTTCAAGCAATTCTCGTGCCTTGGCCTCCCAAATAGCTGGGATTACAGGCATGTGCCATGACGCCCAGCTAATTTTTGTATTATTAGTAGAGACAGAGTTTCACCATGTTGATCAGGCGAGTCTCGAACTCCTGACCTCAAGTGATCCGCCCACCTCAGCCTCCCAAAGTGCTGGGATTACAGGTGTGAGCCACCGCGCCTGGCAGGTTGCTACTTTGAAACTGTAAGTGCCTTCCAGATAGTGTGTGATTTGAAAATGCTCTCCCAGGGTCAAGTCAGAAGTGATTACACTGTAATAGATGGCTTGGTTCTGGGTATTTTACTGTAAGTAAATCATATTAATACCTCAATTCTTTTTGAGACAGAGTCTTGTTCTGTCTCCCAGGCTGGAATGCAGTGGCACCACCATGGCTCACTGCAGCCTCGACCTCCCAAGCTCAAGCCATCCTCCCACCTCAGCCTCCTGAGTAGCTGAGACTACAGGTGTGCACCACCATGCCTGGCTAATTTTTGTATTTTTTGTAGAGACGGGATTTCATCATGTTGTCCAGGCTAGTGTCGAACTCCTGGGCTCAAGCGATCCACCCACCTCGGCCTCCCAAAGTGCTGAGTTACAGGTGTGAGCCACTGAGTCTGGCCTACACCTCAATTTTTAAAACACAAAATGATACCACTATGCATCCAGTAGATAGGTCAAACTTAGACTAACAATAGTAAGTGTTGGCAAGGATATGGAGCAACAAGAACTCTGTTATTGGTGGGAAGCAAATTGGTACAATCACCTTAGAAAAACACTTGACAGTATTACCAAGTTGAAGACATGCATACCAAATGATCCAGCAACTGCATTCATTGGCAATACTCCCAGGTACACCGATGTTCCCAATACCCAACTACTAGAAACAACCCACCTGCCCAGAAAGTGTAAGTAAACTGCAATATATGCAACAATATACTACTGTACAGCAATGAGAATGAACTCCAGCCTTGAAAAACATGAATTTATTTCATAAGCATAATGTTGAAAAAGAACCAAACAGAAAATCCATACTAAATATGGTTCCATTTACAGACATTCCAAGAGCAGGCAAAACTACAAGATATTGTGTAGGGATGACTACGCAGGCCAGAAAGCAGAAAGAACAGTACGGATTGGTGGCAACAGGAACCCCAGGATGATGGTTCCCACTCGGGGGGGAGAAGGGGATTATGATTGGGGTGACCGCGGAGGCTGGAGTGCCTGGCCTGAGTAGTGGTTAAATGTGTGTTCACCCTATCGTTATTTCTTAAAACATGTCATGTTTTCTGCACCTTTATATACATATGCCAAATTTCACAGTTTTAAAACTAAATGTTCAATATAGACCAGGTGTGATGGCTCATCCCTGTAAACCCAGCACTTCGGGAGGCTGAGGCAGGTAGATCACTAGAGGTCAGGAGCTCAAGACCAGTCTGGCCAACATGATGAAACCCTGTCTATATAAAAAAAAAAAATACAAAAATTAGTCAGGAGTAGTGGCATGCACCTGTAATCCCAGCTACTTGGGAGGATGAGGTGGGAGAATCGCTTGAACCCGGGAGGCAGACGTTGCAGTGAGCCAAGATTGTACCACTAAACTCCAGCTTGGGTGGCACAGTGAGACCCTACCCCAAAAATTAAATTATGAGGCTGGGTGTAGTGACCGATGCCTGTAATCCAAGCACTTTGGGAGGCCAAGGGTGGTGGAACACTTGAGATCAGGAGTTCGAGACCAGCTTGGGCAACATGGTGAAACCCCATCTCTACTAAAAATATAAAAATTAGCTGGGCATGATGACATATGCCTGTAGTCCCAGCTACTCAGGAGGCTGAGGCAGGAGATCGCTTGAACCCAGGAGGCAGAGGTTGCAGTGAGCTGAGATTGCACCACTGCACTCCAGCTTGGGCGTTAGAGTGAACTCCGTCTCAAAAATAAATAAATAAATAAATGTTCAACAGATGAATTTAATTGCAGATTAGATACGGCTGGAGACACTGTTAGTAAATCGTGCAGAGGAGCTAAAGAAAGTTACCAGAATGCAGCAAAGAGGCACAAAAAAATAGAAAACCTGAAAAATAGAAGACATGGAAGGTAGCATGAGTAGGTCTAACAAAAATCCAATTCTCACGCGAGAGAGAGAAGACAGAGAGAATAAAGCAGCAACAATTGTTTTTTAATTGAAATAGTTTTACTGTTGCCCAGGCTGGAGTGCAGTGGCACAATCTTAGCTCACTGCCAATCTCTGCTGCCTGGGTTCCAGCAATTCTCATGACTCAGCCTCCTGAGTAGCTGGGACTACAGGCGTGAGCCACCCTGCCCAGATAATTCTTTTGTATTTTTAGTAGAGACGGGGTTTTGCCATGTTACCAAGGCTGTTCTCAAACTCCTGACATCAGGTGATCTGCCTGCCTGGGCCTCCCAAAGTGCTGGGATTACAGGCGTGAACCACTGTGTCCAGCTGCAGCAGCAATATTTTAAGAGGTACTCCCTAAGAACTTTCCAGAACTGAAGAAAGACACAAATCCACAAATTCAAGAAGCCCAATAAATCCCAAGCAGAGACGAGAAATAGGTCCACACCTAGACACAAGATATTAAAAGCAGCCAGAGGAAAAAAGCTGATTACCTTTAAAACTGTGACTTAGATGGCAGGCTGCCTTCTCAATAGCAGCAGTGCAATCCAGAAGATGGTTGACCTTCGATACACCGACAGAGTAACTGTCAGAGAGAAAAAAAAATAGGTCACACTCAAAGAATCAGAAATCAGAATGGCTTCTGATTTCAGCAACAGCACGGGGAACTAGAAGACAATAAAGTGCTGACCGGGTGTAGTGACTCACGCCTGTAATCCCAACACTCTGGGAAGCCCAGGCAGGCAGATCACTTGAAGTCAAGAGTTTGAAACCAGCCTAGCCAACATGGGGAAACTCTGTCTCTACTAAAAATACAAATATTAGCCTGGCATGGTGGCGAGCACCTGTAACTCCAACTACTTGGGAGGCTGAGGCAGGAGAATCACTGGAACCTAGGAGGCGGAGGTTGCAGTGAGGCAAGATCACAGTCCTGCACTCCAGCCTGGGCAACAGAGCAACACTCCATTAAAAAAAAAAGAAAAAAAGACAATGAATTGCTGCCTTCGAAATTCTGAGGGAAAATGATTTCCCAGCCTAAAATTCTACACCCAAACTGTCAACCATGGGGTTAAAGACATTTTTAGACATGAAGGAAATCAGTACACTATTGGCAAATGTAAGAATTTAGTAACTGTTTAAAAAGCAAGTCGTGCCAGGGCCGTGGCGTGTACCTGTGGTCCCAGCTACTCGGGATGCTGCGGCAGGAGGATCACTTGTGCCCAGCAAGTAGAGGCTGCAGTGACCTGTGATTGTGCTACTGCCCTCCAACCTGGGCGACAGAGTGAGACCTTGTCTCAAAAAAAAAAAAAAGTAGTCTGGCACAGTGGCTCACACCTGTAATCCCGGCACTTTGGGAGGCCGACGCAGGCAGATTCTGACGTCAGGAGCTGGAGACAAGCCTGGCCAATATGGTGAAACCCTATTTCTACTAAAAATACAGAAATCAGCCGGGCATGGTGGCACACAACTGTACTCCCAGCTACTACTGGGGAGGCTGAAGCAGGAGAATTGCTTGAGCCCAGAAGGCGGAGGTTGCAGTGAGCTGAGATTGCATCACTACCACTGCACTCCAGCCTGGCCAACAGAGTGAGTTACTGTCTCAAATAAAAAAAAAAAAAAAAAGAAGGCCGGGTGCGGTGGCTCAAGCCTGTAATCCCAGCACTTTGGGAGGCCGAGGCAGGTGGATCACGAGGTCGAGAGATCGAGACCATCCTGGTCAACATGGTGAAACCCCGTCTCTACTAAAAATACAAAAAAGTAGCTGGGCATGGTGGCGCTTGCCTGTAATCCCAGCTACTCAGGAGGCTGAGGCAGGAGAATTGCTTGAACCCAGGAGGCGGAGGTTGCGGTGAGCCGAGATCGCGCCATTGCACTCCAGCCTGGGTAACAAGAGCGAAACTCCGTCTCAAAAAAAAAAAAAAAGAAGAAGAAGAAGAAGAAGTAATCACTAGAATAGATATGCCATATGTACATAGCATTCAAATAACCAAGGGGGAAAAAATGGGACTTAATTAATTTAAAAAAAAAAAAAAAAAAAAGCAAGGGAAACAAAATAAGGGTCCAGACACGGTGGCTCATGCCTGTAATTCCAGCACTTTAGGAGGCCAAGGTGAGTGGATATCCTGAGCCAAAGA